GACAACGTACGTATCTCAGGTATGACAACACAACAAGTTTTAATTCAAATCAATCTTTTTATGCGAAATAAAGGAACAGCCTCCTACCAAAGAACCCATTTTTATAGAACAACAAATAGATATATTTATATAACGATATAGAAATGCCTCTATTAATAGAACACCCATACAATAGAGCACAAATTGATTGCCCCGATTGTGTTCGTTTATGGAGGTTCGATTGCAGCAGCTACTTTTAGTTAACGTTAAAATTTCTGCGAGTTTCATATTTTTTAGTAATCTAGTCATTTCTTTGATATTCATTTATGTTGTATTTAATCTAAACAACTGTTTACATTTGAATAAAAATAATAGTAAATGGTACCTATTTTTTCATATAAATTATTAAGTATGTTATTAAAAAAGCGCCCTTCATGTTACTATCCTAGATCGAGATGTTCATGATGCATCGGGTTGAAAAACTCAGAGAATAAATGAATACCAGAGAACCTTATAAGATAAGCAATTGTTACATTCACAGGGCGTGGTATTGGTGGCGACAGTATTGTATATTTTTTTTCAGTCTATGCCTAATTGATTCTCAACACAAATACTATTTTTCGACAACCAAATTCTGAGATCAAGCATTCATTTGCTATATAAATTTAGAATTTTTCGTGTTACTTGTTCAGTCCACCCCTTTGACATGACACCAGTTACTATATCTATCTAAAACAATTATACAACGGAATAGTTTATATTTATTTAATATTATGATATATTCGTTATTATGACTAAAATAACGGATTTCAGAAGCGTGTGATTTAACCGTGAGAATAATTAGAATATATAGAGTATGTAAATATGAAACAGATTGTAGTTGGTCTTACAATAATTGATATAATTGACAGAATAGACCATGATGCATTCATTATTTAGTGCCAAGCGATGTTCTCACAGTTGACATTGAACACAATACAAAATTATTTCGGAGAAGTAAACGCATAATTTTTTCGTTATTTTGGAACACACCTGTTTCTGTACCGAAAGAGAAAAACTCTTGGCTTTAAAATATTTTCCGAAGGAGCTCTTAAAGAGAGTTCCAAATAAGTCGATACGTACGTGATTTTCAAAATCAATGCATCAGCACCATTTAATTACGTAACGTCAATTACATGTACAAAAATGCAGTAGCACTTATATGCAGATTGATGCGTATTGTTTGTATATTTTTTAACTCGCAGATTTGCTAACGCTAATTGACAAGCTCAATAAGAATTCCAGTTTACAGATTGCGGCGACGTTTTACAATTTGCGCCTCACAACCTATTTTGTTTGATACAGTTGTCCATAGAGAGGCTGCGGTGATGTAAACCAAGAAGTTTGTCCATAGAGAAGCTGCAGTGGCTTTACCAAAAACGACAAACGACTGTCAGTGGGGACATTTTAACAAAGTACATGTACAAAGCCAAAAAAGCAAATAAGAACGCCAGAAGCACAAAAGAAGTGATTTTTATTGTAAGAAATAGCCGCCAATATTTTTGTGACAGGATGCGGTGTATTTAAAAAAAGATGATATATATCAAATCAACGACTATGTATGTGAATGCAGTCAAAGTCAAGGCTCTTGGTGGATGACCGATCGATCAAACTAATCTATTAGTTGTTAAGTTAAATTAAGAATTTAAACCATTTATTGTAATTGGCCTGAATATAGAGGTCACACCGATACCTTATATACATACGTAATTTAAAATTACTTATGCACGGATTGTGAAATAAAAATTTGCAAATCATACCGATACTACTAAAATAAATTATGCATACGTATAACGATAATTACTGTAATTTTAATTGATCCGTGTCGTTACAAATATTTTTGACACCAACCTTTACCAGAATGTCCACAGAATTGATTGTTGCTTGAATATCTCAAAGATTTTACTTCCAAACATACTAATTGTCTCAAATATTTAAGTTTACTTTGAACTATTATAATCTGGTTTGTAAATCACTTAAACCGGATACGGAAGTGACTGTTCGTATAGATGTCCAAGATAATTTCTCATAATGTTTTGAAGTGAAAAAAATTTATTGTCTATAAAAAATATGGATCGGCTTTTATATATCGAAAAATTCGCTGGTAGCAATAGTTTTGATTTTGAGAGAGCAAAGGTTCATATTGACAAAGATTTATTTGAGAAAAAATTTATTGTTTAATCATTCATATTTAAAATCGTACCGATACGAGTTGCAAAGGAAACATGTAATGATAGAATACAGAACTAATAACCGAAACACTGGCTTATTACGTACGCGACGCAAGCATACTGTTTAAAGGTCAACTTGCTACATGAATTCTTGTTTTTCAAAAAAAGTTTCTATTTTGTTATTTTTATCATTTAAACAAATACGAGTTTGGATATGGTTAAAAAATTTCTATTTTGTTATTTTTATCATTTAGGCAAATGCAAGATTCATATGTATGTTCAATGGTTAATTAAGACAAAAATTTGAAGAGATGTATCATGAGTGAAAAGAGTGATTTTCAGTATTTAGACATGATATCGGAGATCTAGAATTCGATTAACATTGAATCATTTTTACTTATTTAGGGTAGACAACATTTGTCTATAAGTCAGTGTGACGGTCTTTTTAGACGATCAATGAAAAATACAAATTTGTACGTAAACTTACCGTACCGTTACTCCGAGAAATACATTCCTGAATTAATTTTCACACTACGTATGGTGATATCAATTGTATAGTAAAAAAAAAAAAACGCACACTTACCGTACCGTTACTCCGAGAAATACATTCCTGAATTAATTTTCACACTACGTATGGTGATATCAATTGCATAGTCAAAAAAAACGCACTATTACTTACCAAATGTGGTTACTCATAGTACTATAAAAATGTCTCATGAATTCGATATACGGATAAACTAGGTTCCACAAAAGTTAAAAATAATGAGAGTAAATAGTTGGTGTATATAGAGCAATAGACCGGAGGTTCAATTACAATACTTTTGTCAACGTGGGTGGTTAAAAACTGTTTCAGAAAAATGTACGATTGTTAAAGTTGACTCAATTGCAATGAGTGATTAAAGACTTTATATGCTTACAATAATAACTTATTATAATGTCTCACGTCTTTTTAAACTAATAGATTTTTTAACAAAATTAACAAGGATTTATTCATGTTAATTTGGTTAGACTAAAAATTATTTTTGACGAACACAGTGAAAAATTTTCTGGGTAAAAGTTTTTCTAGTCATAAATTTTTATGAATTCTTTTTAAAATGGTAAGTTCATAAATTTTTATGAATTCTTTTTAAAATGGTCATATAGTAAGTAATACATGTATGTAACTTGATATCGTTTGTTAGAACATTTTACTATATATAAACATGAGCTATTTACTCATTCACATAACTGATATCTTTAACACGCTACAATCGAAGGGTTTATATATAGCCAAAACGTACAAAGATAAATAATGATAATACATGTACTACTCTCTTAATATATGATAGGTTACTCGCAACAATATCGCTATTTTCATGGCCCTACGTGATACCTTTATATCAACAGTCTTGCATGGATAAATTAGTTTCACAAAAGTTAAAATAAATGTAAGTAGCTAGTGTGAAGAAATTACTCGACACCCAACACAATAGAACTGGGAAACAATAGACCGGACGATACCAATCTTTTGCCAACGTGGTTGAAGATGTTTCAGGAGCATTCAAAAAAATCCATTTAATGACCGTATACCATTTATAGAAAATTATTTGTAAATATCGCCACATAATAAATATCTACGGGTGCTCCGAAAATGTACGGTCTAAAACGATAATTTTTTATATAGACTTTATTTTAATGCTTACACTAATAACATATGGGCTGAGTTCAATAGAAACGGTGTGAATTGTATTAGAATTTATAATACATGTACAATTTACACCGTTTCCATTACACTCAGCCCATATTCCAAGATCTCACGTCTTTTTAAATTAGTTTTTTTAATAAGAATTGATTATACTAATTTGGTTAGACTAAATTATTCTTGGTGAATGTGTTCCAAGAATTGTCCATGTAAACACTTTTCTCTTCATTCGAAACCATCGACACTTAGCATAAAAGTTTCAATTTATGAACGCTTTTTTCATATTAAGTAATACATAATTACAAAATGATGTATGCTACTTGATACATGTAATTTTTTGTTCGCTACTTATATAATTGATAGAAATTCAGGAGTGTACATATTGTGTCGTTCATCATTGAATTTTTTCCTTGGCTTGAAATTCATATCCGCTTTCTTTACTAATTCCTTTCTTTCATGTGTGAGTAATTTTTCTGTCTAACCTTTAGGAGTCCCTATCGATTACTATAAGTCGTGGTATTATTTTCATTTCTCTAATCAGAAACTGACGGATTTGTTGTGCCGTTAGAGTAGGACTTTATATGTAACTCTGCGCCATCCTAGAGAACTGTTTCACGAATTAATGCATATGTACTTGAGTTTGTAAATCGGAACCAAACGGATTGCAATAAAAAGATTAACTTGCAAAATGAACACGCGACATAAAGAAACAAAATTCTTATCGTCTGAACTGTATTTCTTTTGGCAAATTTTCTTCGAATGTACGGATTAATTAAAATTGCTAACATTTTTCTGCTTACGAATAAAGTATTTACCATTGAAAATCAAGATTCCTACACATTTTTCTGTTTAACAAAAAAAAATAAGAAAGTTTAGACGGTGAACAAAGAAAACACAATTTCTTTAAAAAATCTGCAGAACTAAAATAATCGTTCTTTTTATGCGCAACATCCGAAGAGTACGTATACGGTTTTCTGTGATATCAAACAGGTTAGGTGATACAATCAACGATCTCTATTGTTATTTAAAGGCACCGCACCATCCAAACTTTTTCTCTAAATATTTGTTTGAGTTTTTGTATTATTTTTATTTTTGTTATTACAGTAATTTTCACATAAAGAAATAATAATATGGGTAAAACCAATAAAAGCAGTTTTGAACCTTTCGCCAATAATTTACCCACTACCCCGCGTCATTCAATGATGACAATAGTCGACTCTTCAATCAAACAAAAATCAATTTCTCGAAAAAATCGCACACGCAATGAAATTCCATTAAATTTCGATCCGACTATAGTTTACAAACCACGTTTTTGTCTTCAAGCTCTTATTAGCACCTCGAAAAAACGCCATTCAATTGATAAGCCTCCTCGCTCACCAAACTCTTTCTTTCTTTTTAAGAACTGCCTGTTGCTCGAATTATGGGAACTAGATTTGAGGCCCGCCATGCCCACAGTCTGTAAACTGGCAAAGAACTTGTGGAAAAATGCGCCACAAGAAGCTAAAGAGTTATATGATAGTCTTTCCACGGAAGCTCTTAGAATTCACCATTCGATGTACCCGAATTATAAATTCCAGCCAAAAAGACCAGAGGCTTCAAAAAATAACAAATATATTACAAACACCGCTGCTGGAATGACAACGACTTTTAGCATTAATCCCGTTTATCCGATAATAACTGTTTCTTCGGCAAATGAATCGCAACAATCGGTTTCTAACTTTGACGGCGGATTGTCTGATGTATCTTATACTTCGCCAATCACACCATCGATACCTTCTCCATTGTCTCTACCAGTAAATGAACAAGAATTAGATTTCAATCCAATATGGTTGGCTCCTGAAGCCGAAAATTCACATCATATATACAATAACATAGCACCAACTTATAATTTCGATTTTACCATTTCGGAAAATCCAGAATATAACGGGATCGAATTCATTCAGAATCCTTTTACGAACGATGATCAATTCTTTAAATTTTTAGAAGCAAATTTTAATAGTCCTAGCAATTCACCATTTGAACTTTTTTCTGATTTTGAAAATTTTCAACCATTTAATAATTTCGTTAGTGTTGATGAATTGCTCAATTAGATCCCATAAATTAACAGAGTTCTAGAATTACCATATTTCCTGAAATAAACAACCCCAAAAAGTGGTGTGGTGCTTATTTCGAATTATCGTGACACTTATTCATAGTTTTACCACAATATTTCACCGCATAAAGTACTCCCCACCCTTTTGCAGAAAATTTAAATCTAAATTTAGCTTCAAATCTATTAATTTAGTACAAAAATCTTCAAAGAAATTGCACTACAGAAAAAAGGAATACGGTATATTGCTTTATTTTTGGTAATTAAGACATTGCTATAAAATTCCCTGAGAGTAGAAGTAAGAGAGTCATTAATTCCTTCCGAACCCATATAAATTGGTTTCCACATTTGACGACTTAATAAAAAACATTGCATGTAAATGACATCAAAGCTTGTTGCATTTGCGCATGCATTACATACCAATAACCATTTTCAATGAATCATTTCATTAGCAAAGAAATTTTCAATCACATTGCAATTGATATTTAAACTTTCTACGATCTATACCGTTTTGAGCCGTGTTCGAGATTCCTATTTTTGTTTATCATTTGTGCTATTATGCTCTAACGCTAATAACGCGAATATTATTTGAAGCTTGTCTGTTGCTATTCCACAAAAATATACAGTATTAATTAATTAATTTAAACTTAAAGGTTAATATTAATAAATTTGTGGTTGGCGTAATTTCTGAGGAGAATAACATGACACTAAAGACATTAAACGATGACTAAATCAACGTTTTCTAGAAACCATTCTTGTTTTGTTCTCATTGCAGAAAAATCCCAAAGAAATTAATAAATAAAAGATTAGTTTTTACATAACATTCTTCGGTTTTTTATTTGCTTCTAGTCATTTTCTAATTTTTTCAAAATATCATTGGTTGCAAGTTGTCCATTTACATACAATGCGCACTCCATAAATTAACAAACTCTCTTTATAGATGGACCAAAAACAGCCATACGTACTACATGTCATACAAGAAAATAGTAATGATCACGGATGTGCTAAATGTAGTTACATACGTAGTTACCCCAAGATTATGTCGAGTCAATTTGAACTTGCAAGTTGGCTTGGAAATACTGCAAGTTTGCTTTTACATAGACAATGTGTTGCACATGCTTGACATACACTAAAAAAGTAGTCATGTTGCTTAGCATCATGACTAAATCTCTTAGCAAATGAAATGGTCATTTGATCAAATTGAAATAACTTTGAGTAAGTACATGTAATTTAGGTCATTTGGTTATTTGGTCATGCAATAAATATTCAATTATTGGTAATTCTTTATTGATTGAATGAATATCTTTCCAATCACTTATCAACCTCATTTGGTCATTCAGATCATTGTTAAAGAAAAAAAACTTCCCAACCCTATTTTTCTCCAAAATCCCCCCATTTTCTAGGGTTCCTGCCCTGTTAATACTATGCTGACCAAAAATGAACATAATTTTACGAATTTAACTTTCTTTAGTGCCATATTTAGAAATCCCCGCTATATTTAATTTACATCATGAATTGAGGATATCGATTGATATAATCGATTAGCTGGACTTCAATTCTTATAATTTGCGTATTGAGATTCTGTATAGTCGTCAAAAAATGGACTACCATTCGAATCCATGAGTCACGAAATGCACTTACATGTATATGGATTCCAGAATCCATATTGGCTAAAAGATGCATAGAAGCTAAAGCATTTACAGAATATATATTTACAGTGTATTTATATTTATATTCCCTTCGTGAAGTTAGCTACAATTGTCTTTTAGATGATATAGCAGATATTTCATTGTAATTTTTATTGTATTATTTAAGATCTAATATTTAAATAAAATTGGAAAATCGTATGATTCAAAGTTTTATGTACAGTCAACTCTTCCTAAATGCAATTCACCGAAACCATATGACTATCAGACACGGTGTGCATTTAGAGAGAGATTGCATTTATAATGAGTATATATTAAAAGGTTTTTTAAGCTAGTATTGAGCAAGAACGGGTATTTAGAGAGGGGCTACATGGTGTGTACATTTATGGCATATCATTAGTACTTCGAGTAGAGCACTTCTTTAGCGATACACCAAGAAGATACAATATAATATTTTTGATTCTCTTTACAATCCTCTCTAGAATTCGGTATATCTCTGACATTTAACATTGTTAAATATATGCATAGATTCTTTTGTTCTGTTAAGCACATTAAGCTTATAAGATCGATATTTTTGGACTTTCATTTGTTGAGGGTAAATAAACAAATGATTAAATTTCTGGGTCTGATGAAAATTCCTAAAATTTCACCTGCTGATGATCATCATCATATGATATCTATTTTCTATTTATAGCTCTTTCATTCTTTATTTTCTTTTTCTTTCGTTAGCCAAGTTAATTCAGTGTTCAGCCATTTTATACTACAATGCATCATAGTAATTTGTTTCCGAAAAAGTTCAATCAACATTATTCTTTAGTGTAATAAAACCATTTCAAGGAATAAAAATATTATATTTTAATAATTAATTATAGTATATTTAATCATTTCTCATGAAATGGTTTCACTTGAATTCGTACAGAAGTTGATAACTCGGTTGAAACAGGCTTACAATTGCGAACATTCTACGATTTCTGTACGAATTCAAGTGAGAACTTCGCTATTATTTTTTGTTAAGACTTTTTATATAAAAGTTATTCTATAAGACTACTATATCAATTTATTACCATATTCTAATTGGTTCCGTTAACCCTGAACCGAAAGATGTTATTTCGGGATTGTTAATCTTGTGAAGATGTTTGTATTTACGCGAATTCTTAGCGCGCGCGTTTATAAAAATATTTATTTGGGCTTAGCTTGTATTTATTATATTATATAACTGCTTTATATTAATCTTTTTATACTGGTACATGTCTATCCAATCATTTTTTTTGATCAAAAGCCAAAGGAATAATCAAGTGTCTGATGCTGCACGATTAAATTTAATACATGTCGTTCAATCTGATGTAAGAACCCACTATGCTTTTTTCCTCTTCAGGCTAGAAGAACATTCTATTCTTTTAGAAAAAATTAAAATGCGTTTGTGCCCATACGGTGCAAGTTTTCTTGAAAATCGCTTCTCTTCGATGAAAAGCTTCCATTCATGCGCGTCCCTACGACTTGGCGCTGATGGTCTCTTACAAACTTTTCTGAGTTTGTAAGAGTTGCGTCATTCGGTTATTAGTCATTCGGTTATTAGTCATTCGGTTATTAGGCCTTCAGTTTTTAGAATGTTGCATTAAAACTAACTACTGATTTTTGGCTATTTGATGTTATATATCTAGATGGTATAAAGCCAAATAATGCGTTTTGGAAAGATATTCTGCACATTTTTTTGATAAAAATTCTTAATATTGTTCTTTATGTCAAATATAGGAAAGACTATGTTTCACTAATTAGCACAAACCAAATATAAAGAGCATTTTTTTATTCTCAACCTTAATTAACAGAACATTATATCAAATTTCTTAAGAAAACGCGATTTAAGATAGAGAACTGAAACTTTCTCGACAATCGTTTCTTAATGAGAATCTTGATTCGGAATATTGCACCCGTAATTCTTTTCACATTGCTTATCTGTTACAGACAATAAAAAATGCATTTGCCACGTTATTTGAAATATGAATGATACATTCTATTATAGTATTTCTAATTAAAACACTCAAACCTACACGGAAAGATTTTTCCGTCCTTATTGTTAACCGTGTAAGTTCTCTCACATGATTTTCTAGATGCATGGTACCCATGATCAATCATTTGTCTATCGCTATCATCTTTCAATTAAATGTTGTTCATGTACATGTACTATCAATTACTGTATCTCTATATGGTCAGTGTTGGTCTATATTTGGAACTTTTTTAGCCAATGAAAATGAAGATGGTTTTCATTACCCTAATGGTCATTTGTTGTGTAACCAAACGTGGTTTTTTATATTGTAGCCTTATTTAGCGAGAACTTTAAACTATGGACCGGTTTGTTGGAATTCCAATCTCATTGAATTTTCATCAATTAGATTTTAATTATCAATTATCAACCAATTTGGAAACTGAAAATCTCCAAAGAATGTTATAGAAGGCTAAATTTTTATTAACGGCAAACAAATATAATAAAAAACATACATATCCTTGAGTTTGGAATGTATGAGTACAAATAGAACTGTTCCGTAGAACGAATAATCGGATTTCCACCACGATTTTCCTCGACCAAGACAATTATTCGTTTGACGTTTTGGAGTGAATATCGTGTACTATGCGGATCCTTATTCAAATATTTTGACATTATTTCTCTTCTATTTCAAGTTCTTCATTTATTTCATTTATTTCTTTTATTAATAACACGGCACTATTTTATTATTAATGCTGCGGTATATATATATATATATATATTAAATATCATTATTAATACTGCAGTATATCATTTATTACTGAGGACGCTCATACGAAGATAACATGACAACTTCTGCGCAGTAATTAAAAGGAAGACAGTTTTTATTGTTTGGATAACAACAAACATGCATTCTTTGTCTGTGAATATCATACTGTAATTACTAATGTTTCTTAAAAAAAAACTTATGCTTGAATTGTAGTACGGATTGTTCGCCCGTGTCACATTCTTTTGATGTTTGTCGTTAACTTTCCGGTTCACGAGGAAATAGAATCGAAACTTTTGTGGAAGCAATTAAAATTAGCATATAATATTTATAGAATTTAGAATATCAGTATTATATTAATATAAAATAAATAAAAATAAAAATAAAAATATCATAGCTACGAAAAAGGGTTTCTTTGTGTGGTTCTGTATATAAGTACGACGAGTTTGTCAAAAAAAAATTAATTCGAATTTAAAAATTATAAAATTATTTTCTTTCAACTATCTCAAAAAAAATGGGTAAAGGAAACTCAGTCAATAATTCAAATAATGGAGAACACTCTCTTTCGTCACTGCATCGTTCAACAAACAATATAACAAGACGCAAAACAAATACTCAAAGAAAACGTGCAACTAGCGAAATACCAAAAAATTTTGACACTACAGTAGTATATCAACCTCGCTTCGAACTTTCGGCACTTATCTGTACGACAAAAAAGAAACCACGGTCATCAAATAATCCCCCCCGGCCACCCAACAGTTTTTTTCTACTTAAGAATGCTTTACTTTTAGAACTTTGGCAAGCAGATATAAAACCAACGATGCCTCAGGTGTGTCGCTTAGCAAAGCAAGTTTGGCATGACGCTCCCTCAGAAGTAAAAGCCCGTTACGATAGCCTCTCAACAGAAGCACTTAAATTACACCAGTCAGAGTTTCCTGGGTATAAATATCAGCCTAGAAGAGCCGAAGTTTCGAAAAGCAAATCATTTCCGGTGGGCAACGGTCTAAATGGGTTAGGGATGATGACGACTTTTAGCATAAATACTCCGGTTTCAACAGTAAATAGAGAGCATGATAGAGAAGAAACAGGAATATCCGGATCTGATACTGAAAGTAGTAACATTTCAGATGTATCAGTATCACCTAATCCAAATCCAGCTTTAGAATTTCCATATTTAACTACACCTGAAACTATGTTGTTTCCTGATCCAATAATCAATCCACTAGATATTCATCTACTAAATATTTTAACTATTCCCACAAGTGAACCAAATATTTTTTCTGATCTTTTATATTCACTCGATTCATACATTCCTAATCAATTCGTGGGCTTAAATAATCAAGCTCCATATTTTTTTTCTTCAGACATGTAACTACTTTTATTTCATTCCCCATCTATATAATCCGTATTTGTATATTATCCTTCCTCGTCTCTTTTTTTAAATTTTTGTATAATAGACACAATATCTGTAAATATATCTCTCGATGCACTAATAATATAATGATCATTTATATTACGCATGAAAGACTGTAGCATAAAGTGTCTATTGCGAGTGTATAATTTTTGACATTGCGTGATCATGAATTACCACCTATCTATGAAAAATCATATAAGATTATAGAGTAAATAAAAATGACTAAGATCCATAAGTTCACCGAAATTATTGCTGTAGATTCCCATTTCGCAGAAATCATGTTTGACTTGGATTTTAAATCAATTATATAGATAGTATTCAGATTTGTCCAATTTTATATAACATAATGAATTTTGTATTGATTAACTGTTGAACCGGACCGGATTGAGATATTAGATGTTATGTTCCTTCCTTCCCTATTGTGGAAAGCACTGATTTTTGGCGCATAAAAATCTTATTCTTTATGGCATAATTAACTTTTATTCATTAGAGATAATCTGTTGTTCATACAGATGAATTCGATTTTTTTAAAACTCATTTCCGAATTATTCTTTGTTACTTCGAAATAGAATGTTCTGCTAACGTAACGGTATGTCTATCATGGAATTTTCCATTTTGATAGATCGCAGTTTACGTCCCGACATGAAGAACATTTTTTTCGAAAAAGCATTACTCTATGGAATCTTTGGAATGGAAAGTATACATCACTTAAAGAACTCGTTTTAATGAGGTGGTGCAAATACATACGTAATGATGATGATTTATTATACACGTACAATTAAATGTACATTTACCCTTCTTTAAAGAATTGAATAGAGTTTCAAAATTTTCTTTAAAGAATGGATTGAATAAACATTTCTTTAGAGAATTCAAGAAACTTTATAATTAAAAAGAAATTTTATAATTAAAAAGAAAGTTTTTTGGTTTTTGTCTCGATCGTGCGCAAAAAAAGAATATAGTATTACGCATGTATGCAATATCGTAATTTGAATCAAAATAGATCAACAATCCAAACTAACGTACAAGTTCTATTGAAAATTCTCGCTTCCCATCCGTTACATAAAGCAAGTAATTCTTTTCTGCAGTAGAATTCGAGACCTTAACTTTGAAACAGCAGCGAAAGTATCCGTGTTTTTCAAAGAAGCTTATAGAATGACTACCTACGTACTAAATGTTTGTTCTTAAGTTAGTCAAATAGATATAACTATAATTTGCGGACTACATAATAATTTGGCAAAGTAGTATAAATATAGAAATAATAATGTTCCATCCATATCATTAACTATTGGTCGATACCGGCCGGTCATCGTTTTCCGTATAATTAAAATTCGCATCACTGGTGCAAGAAAACGTACATTCACACATGTTAAATTACCCCTTAATCAGGAGATATTATCACACCACCAATATATATACATGGTTCGTACGTATAATGTTTAGCTCCCAAAAAAAAATTAGCATACGTATATTCTTGATTAACTTAATTATCATTCATTTATTTATTCATCCCATTAAAAAATATGGAGAAAAACAATAGTAATAAAAAAATTCGTTCCGCTTTCGAGCTATTCAAAAACTTTTTTGACATCGAGGTACAACGTAATAAACTCAATATTAAAAATTCACGTGTAGCAGCCAAAAAGATATGGAATAAGGCACCGCAAAATTTTAAAAAAAGTTTTGTGGAAAAAGCAAAACATTACCATGGAAGCTCGCAACAAAATGAAGCAACGTTGAGATGTTTCAATGGAAATAATGACGTAAAAGCCTATATAGATTGTGCTTTGTTATCGAACAGAACAGACACACCTCTGGATTATGGTGAGTCTTCCGCTGGTTTGAGTGCAAGCGATAATATCGTCGACCGGGAAGAGACCCCACCGCCTGAACCTCAAGTTGAAGAACCAGTAACGCTTCAGCGTATTTTAATCGACCCACAATTCTTGAATGTTGGTGGTCCTTTTAATCATCAAGACGACATGAATACAAATGGAGTTTTTGACGTTATTAGCGGGAACAATTCAGTCGGATACTAGCTTTACTCGGTTTTTCTTTGGGTGAGTTTCTATCTGGGATAAAGGATTTTGAACATTTATGATTGGCCAAATACCGTTAAATATATTACCCTAATTTTTACACCGTGGCCAAAGCTCCCTTTTAATTTAGAATACATTATTCAATAATTTATTAGTGATATCTGCCGGCAGATGTGTTTAGAAATTCATGTAAAACTAGTAGGGCAAGAATAATAATAAAGGGTGTGTGATTCATGCGACCATATACATTGCATAAATGTTTACTTGTGTCACACACTGTTTGATATTCGGCAAAAAGAGAGCAAGTGACTTTTGTTCTTGTTTCTAGATCGTTACCGTTACCTACAAATGATCGGTTCATTCTATCTTTACTGTGGAAAAAAATAACGATAATCTTAATCATTAAAAACGCATTTTTTTTTCATAAAAAAAATTTCTGCGATCTTGAAGATATAAAAGTGACTGCACAGTAATCATCTTTCACAGAGATATAAAAGTATAGAAAATGAGAACAAACTTTAGCCACCCATACATATTTCAAAATGAGAAAGAGAGGTCGCGTGTCCAAAAATATTAATTATCACGCATTACTAAAGATTTAATATTAATAATACTACGTAACTATATTAAAAATTTTTTTTATATGTGCCATTGTTGTATATGTTCATTTTGTCATTTTATCATTGATGCCATAAGTGTATCTACGCATTCCATTCTGGCATACAAAGCGGGTTTTTATTGTAAAAAAGAATAATACCATGCGCTATCTAACTTTATTTATTCGAAAAGACATTATTTGTTTTAAAAAACAACAAATAAAATGTTCATTGCTTTCACATCAGCTAGAATATTAATTAACCCCGATTTAGAGGATCGATATACAAACAAACATGTATTCTGGTTCTTTACACGTTTTTGATCATCTGCTAACGCGTCTTTTGATAGCTTGACTCTTCAGCTTGGCGACTGTGTGTTTTTAATGCATCTCGATAAGATCAAAAAGAAAAATGTTGTTAAGGTATATTAGATAAGCTTGTTTCGTGTAATAAAATTTTAGACGTAATCTATCAAATTCATAAAGGTCTTTATACTCGGCTCCGATTTTGTTGATGTTCGCAATCATTCATTATCGCGTTTCTATCTCATTCATGATCATGTACAACTTTCAGAGTTCATATTTACGAATCAAGCAAATTTATGAAATCGCATGATCGATCGATTGTATTTTCCTTTTAAATGTTTAAGATTTTGAGGTTCTTGCTGTTTCATTAAAAACTTCGACTCGATAAAGGAATTTGTATGAAGTATAAATTCAATCTCATACATACACATCAAAAGAGTCTACTTACACATATGTTCGGGATGAATCTTATGCACTTGCATATTTACATTTATAATGCGACACGATATTTTTAAGTTAAACTTTAATTTTAAGCTTGATGAGACAATTTAAATATACGAGCATTCGTCCAGAGTGATCTGAGTCCAAAAAATTTCCGGTTGATACAATAAAAAAAGCGAACAGCTCATGTACATCGGGAATATGGGAATGGAAGATCTCAACAATGACAAAGACTACCTGCATTACAGGGGATGGCACGATCCCATTCTCACAAAGTGTATGTGCAGACCAGTTCTTTGTGGATTTATTTATATGTACGTACGCCTGAACACAATTATGAAACATGATGCTCCTGCATTTGCTGCGTGATTTACAAATGATATTCCCATATCCACGTTTTCATTTAAAAACAAGTAAGAATTGATTTTATTTGACTCTCTTTTATTAAAAATCCAAGAATGTACCAAAACTATACTAACAAAATACATTAGATTATATATATATACATACTGCATGACACAATGGGTGAAATCGAGTGATGATATGATATCAAAAATCTTAACTTTAACAATGTATGCAGATAGATAATCAAATTAGTATGATTATGGATCTCTCAAAGATTGCATAATCTATTAAAGTGGGGAAGAAATTATATAAACGTGTATTTGATATTTTGAAGCGTCCAAGATTTTCTCCGTTACCCTCTCTTTAAAACTCTTAATAATAATAATAAAAAGAAGACGATGTTGCTTATCTAATTCAATCTATAAAAATTGAGATGGCAAAGATTCTGTCGTTGTCGTATTGGTGTTATTGGGTTGCAATTGACAATTATCTTCGAATGGGATATAACACAGTTCCGGATACATAGAAAAATAGATATCATTTGGATATAATAATGTTTGATCATTAAGTTGTGATTGGAAAAGACCTCCTTGGACGAAATCGAAATAATTTTGTTGAGGGTTATCGGAAGATTTTGACGCCAGATTGTTGGAAGTGTTGCATACGTTAGAAAGTGATGAATAAATTTCGTATAAATGTGGGTTGAAGAACGCGACAGTTTCATATTGAGAAGCTGGATCGGTGTTGGATAGTTGTGTATTATTAACATAGATTTCTTCTTGGTTATTGGACGTTGGTGTAATTGGTGTAGGTGTAATAATGAGGTCTGAACTACTAAAGGAGTTATCGATGTCTGTATAGTTATCTGAATACTGAGGAGTAAGTATATTATTGTTACTGTCACTGTTGGTGTTACCATTATTATGATGATGATGATGATTATTATTATCTGTAAATGCTATACTGTTACTATTATTATATGCTATAGTGTTACTACTGTTACTATTAGTATTAGTATTAGTATTAGTATTAGTATTATTATTATTATTATTATTATTATTATTATTATTATTATTATTA